CTATTAAGGAAGGCAGAAGATTCTCTTGAAATGGAAAATGTAAATCCCCTCTCTCTGAATTATTAGGATTTTGAAATTAAGAGTCTCTCAGGTAAAGATATGGGAATAGGAATAACAGCTTTTTATTAGGAAAATTAAAAATACAAATTCAATAGTACACTGCCAACAGAACCACAGGCAGTGGAGGACCAGCAAAGTCTTGGAAAAGATGGGGTCACTCACAAAGACACATTTTGTAAAGAAACCCCAAAAAGCCATGCCACAAAGTGTACCTAGATCCACACCTCTACTCCCTATGGCTCTTTTCCCTTAACAGAATTTCCTTTTGTCAGAAGATTTGACTAGGAAAAAATTCAATTTTTGTGAGGTGTTGTGAACTGTTTTTATTACTTGTGATAACCATCCCGGGTCTGAGTATTCTTGTAATGCAATGCCATGCAGCAGAGAACCTGTCCACTTTATAGCTTTGCTCTCAATATTTGTTACTCATTGTTTTCTCATCTAAATGTACATTTGCAAGATGTGTGTCAGCCTAAGACAAAGGGCATCTAAGTGAGCCTCCTGCCAACACAATTACATTTCTTATACCCTGTTATTATACACTTTTGTCATAGTCTCTTTCTAAATTTATTTAAGATTCTAAACTTTGCCTCATTAAACTGGAGCATGTCTGCACTGCATTCTTGGCCTGTAAAAGCAAACATGCTCATGGCAGAATTTTAAAGTAACAACAAATTAAAACAGAGCCTCTTTTCTCACAGCCCTCAGCTTAAAAGGAGAGCATTGCACCCCAAGTGGTGTTTGCTTCTGAAAAGTGACTAATGTGCTGCTTAATGTGCTGTTGAGGCCAACATAAAACCTCTGTCATGCAGCCTCCCACACAAAAGTGATACACTTCATAATGGAGGGAGAGATTTTTTTTTTCTCCTTTTTGACAAACCTTCCTTTGTCACCTGCATGGAGAGAGCAGAACCACTGCAGCCATTCTGGCTGGGTTAGGGATGGGCAGTCTAGATCAACAATTGGTGTTTCACCTAGAAATTCAATCTTTTAGACCCATTTCCTTTTCTTGTGTGATGAAATGACGTTAATTAACTTCTACCCTCATGGGTTTTGTCTCAGTGCCTCAAAGCCCTGGATTTCCTTCATTCAAAGAAAGTGATCCACAGAGATGTCAAAAGTGACAATATTCTTCTCGGGATGGACGGATCTGTGAAACTGAGTAGGTATTCTTGGTCAGGCACAGCATCCCCATGTTCTCAGACACAGACTGAGGATTTCTTGTGCTTGTTTTCATGGTTCAAGCTGATTTGACAGTACTTTTGTTTTCCTCCTCAGCTGATTTTGGCCTGTGTGCTCAGCTGACCTCAGAGCGGAGCACACGGTGCACACTGCTTGGCTCTCCTTACTGGGTAGCACCAGAAATCCTGAAAAGAAAGGAATATGACACCCAAGTGGACATCTGGGCCCTTGGGATTGTGGCCATTGAAATGCTGGAGGGGGAACCTCCATACTTTAAAGAAAGCCCTGTCCAGGTAAGGTGCAAACACTGTCAGATACCACTGTCTTGCCAATCTGTGCCATGTTTTGTCTCCCATGAACCAAAATTCCACTCAAATCAGCTTGAAATGGTTCCACCAAGGCCCACTTCTAGAAATATCCCTGCAGAATATGTCAGCAGAGGAGAAGTGACCCGTGCAAGTGCAAAAATGTGCCTTTTTGGCTTCCAACACTGCTTGAGTTCCTCCTGCTGTGTTTGATCTTTCTCGGAGCTGGAGCTGGGAATGCCAGCAGCAAGTTTCTCCAATTGGGAAATTATTATGAAAAGCATTACAAGTGTATCTGCAGGCCCAGAAGTCTTTTCAAATTCTGACCAGTGCCTTTCAGGGAGGGTCACTGGTTCTAGTGATGCCATACTTATGTATTACCCAAAAAAATTCTAAAAGTATATTTTAGCAAAGCTACTTGTAATAAATGTATTTTAAAGTTTTCAGTTTTAGATCCTAATTCCTTAAAATGAAATTATGCGTTCTTATACTACTAAATGAGTGAGGAATAGTGGAGGAATGTATACCAGGATAAAATCTCATGGCTATTAGCTGAAACCAGGCTAAATGCTGCACAGTTGATTCCTGAGGAAGACAACAGTTCTGAAGATTTCAGTCTTCCACTCTTTTTTAAAAAGTTCCCTGACTTTTCTTGGAAGACCACTTCTGGATTGCTTTTGCAGATGAAGAGAATAATTTCCAGATCCCAGAACATTCTGGGCTGGGAGGGATCACCAAGTCCAACTCCTGAGTGAATGGCCCATCTGTCACCAGCACCATGCTCTGACAGCTGAGCTCCACTCAGGCTCATTATCATCCCTGCTCTGAGACTGACAGTTCCCTGCTGCCTTGCCTCCAATGCGGATCACAGCCCCTTGCGAGGCACCAGGAGCTCTCAGAAAGCCAGGAGGGCCTGCAGTGGAGCTGTGACCCCAGGGATGGTCAGTGGCTGTCCCGTGCTTCCTCTGTCCCCAGGCTCAGCGCCTGATCGCCCGGAACAGGTGCCCCCCTCTGAGGATGCCCAGCAAGATGTCAGTTCTGTTCCACGCCTTCCTGCACTCCTGCCTGGACACCAACCCCAGCATCCGCTGGACAGCCAGGGAGCTCCTGCAGGTAGAGGCCCAGTGGCTGCAGGGGAAAGTCTCCTCTCCTGTTAATCCCCAGTCTGGGTGCTTTGCAACATAGAATCATAGAAGAATTTGGCTTGGAAGGGACCTTTAAAGTCCATCTGGTCCAACCTCCCTGCCATGAGTGGGGACATCTTCAACTTGATCAGGATGCTCAGAGCTCTGTCCAACCTGACTTTGGATGTTTTCACAGATGGGGCATCCAACACCCCTCTGGGCAACCTGTGTTTCACCACCAGTGTTTCACCACCCCCAGCATAAACAGTTTCTTCCTTAGACCTAACCTGAATCTCTCCTCTTTTCATTTAAAACCATTATCCTTTGTCCCTTTGCAACAGGCCCTACTAAAAATGGGTCCCCTTGAAGTTTTGAAAGGCTGCAACAAGGTCTTCCTACGGCCTTCTCTCCTCCAGGCTGAACAATCCCAGTTCTCTTGGCCTTTCCTCAGAGGAAAGGTGTTCCATCCACCTTCTGACCATTTCTGTGTTGTATTTTGGGAGTGCATTCAGTCTTAGCTGGTGGCAAGAGAGCTGCAGTAGAATGGTGCCAGGTACACAGGCCCAAAATGGTGTTGGTGGAAGAGGAACCCAGTCCCAGCCCAGCAGTCAGAGATTTGGCTGTTGTTGTCTTGGTGCTGAAAACCTGCACCTCAGTGTCCTTCAGAACAGCACAGCCCTAAATCCCAGCGGGATCAACATTCCTTGGAGGTGCTGGACTTCCCTGTGGAACAGCTCGCACTCATCTTTTCTGACAACTGAAGCAGCCCTGCCTTTAGAAAAAAGGAACCTGAGTCCTTTGAGTTTCCTGAAATGAAAAAAGCCCTAAGGCAGCAAGTGGCATTCCCAGAGTGCTGGTGGGGTCAAAATCCCAGCAAGCTGAAGACCCCTTGCTAAATTGATTAATGGGATTACTGGGCCATGTTTCCCTCTGACAGCAAGGTCCTGAATATTAAGACTGAAGTGCAGATGGTCCCCTCAGTCCTATTCATGTGTATTTCTGGTAAGCAGAGGAATCGTGCTTCCTCTTGTGAGAAACTGGCTTTGGAAAGTAACAGTTCCTTTCTTTCTTTTTTCCCCTTTGGGCAGCATCCATTTTTACGAACAGCCGTGAGTCTGTCTGTCCTGCCTGACATGATCCGTATAGCCAGGAAACTCTGTAAGGCCATGGAAGCACTTCAGGCCAGCAGTGCCAGCCCAGAGCAAAAGAAGGAATAAAATTTTCACTCCTTTGGGACATTTGCTCCCTTCTCACAGAGTGGTTCCACAACAACTTCTGAATTATTGGTTGCTTCTTAAAGATGGAAAGTCCCAATTATGGGGGATTTGGTATGGTTTGAAAATGGGGAAGGGTCTCCTTCATCCATCAGCTCCAGGCTACGCTGACTCTGGAATGCCCATGGGCTGGGTTTTGCCCACTTGCAGCAATTCTGGGTGAGGAAGAAAGTGCAATTGCATTTCCAGCCAAACGGGGAAGCCAAAACTTCCTGTTGGATGCACAGTCAGGTGGGACTGTGGAGTGTTTGGAGAATTCCCTGTCCTCCCTCCACCTGGCAGAACATGTGGACACAAAAATATATAGAGATTATAGAGAAAGAAGTGTATAACATAGATTGCTAAATGGGGGGTGTGCAAATGTACACAGACACATAATATACTGCATAATTATTATATGTATAAATATTTATAGAATATATATTATTATTATAGTCCTATATATATAATGTTTCTATATAATTATATGTATAGATAGTGTGTTACAGAGCTATGGACATACATTTACCTTGTACCTTATATTGTCCCCTATTCACAACCCCCCTATAACTCTCCTGAACTGCAGTTCCTTATCTAATACTCCATATATATATATATATAAAAAAAATATATATATATATCTGTATATACATATATATTGGGTGTGTGTATATATTGTGTGTATACATACTGTGCATATATATTATATATCTGTACATACCTATATAGGGTGTGTGTATATAGTGTGTGTATACACAGTGTGCATATATATATATGTATATATATATCATTTTTATATACACTCAGGGCTTCTATAACAGATACACATTGTGTAGAGAGCTATAATAGCTTGTATAGGCTAACGTGTGGCACCCTCTGTGAATTAAAGGCCGTTTTTCTCCGGGTGTGTCGCACCCCCGCGCTCAGGTGTCCGTACCTGGCCGTGGTCACACCTGTGTCATGGACACCGACCGCCCCCTCGCGGCCGCCGGCGGCGCAGAAATCGCTAAAATTGAAATTTTTTGTAAAATTTTATTTGGGTCACTTCGTATTGAAAAGTTACAAAATGTTGCAATGAAATATTTTACACTCATTTCCACCTGTTTTAATTTTTGAGGTGGCTCGAGTGTGTACATAAATGCAGCTCTTCTCCCCTCCCAAAAAAAAAACCCAAGATGTTTTCCCATATGTTGATATTGTTAAAAAATGAACAATTTTAAGTACCAAAGTTAGAAGCAGGTAGCAGCACAAGCCCCTGTCAGCCTGCCCTTGCCTGGCTTCACCTGGGAAGGCAGAAGCATCTGTAAACCAGCAGAGCCAGCTGTATTCCCAAGCTGGATCAGCTCCTCCTGATGGGAAAACCAAGCAGTTCCCAAAAACAATCACTGCAGAGGTGGAGGCATCCTGCTGAGCCTCCTGCAGCTCCCAGCACCGCCAGTCCCTCAGGCCAGCACTGGCCAGCAGTGCCTGGCCCCGTGCCACGGGGACAAACTGGGGCAATGTCTGGAGCTGGCACAATCATCAAGGCCTCAAGGTCACCGTGTCTGTGCTCCTCACCCTGAGTTCCCACTTTTCCAGGCTGTACACACCCAAGAACTGCTGATCATGCTCCCTGTGTCCCACTCATGCTGGGGACAGCCCTGTGCAGAGGCTGGAACAGGGTGGTGGTGCTGGGACTGGGGCCAGGGCTGTGTGGCTGCAAGGAACGAGCCAAGGGACTCCCCTCCAGCTTGGGGCTGCGCTGGCTTTGTGCCCTCAGTGGGCTCAGGAGCATCCTCAGCCAAATGGTGGGGCAGGGAGGCACAAACCTCTGGTGCCATCTCAGTGTGGAATGTTTTTCAGGCTAAACACTGATCCTTGGCCAAGCCAAGCCCCAGGAATGGCCCCCATCCCATGGGGAACGGCCCCCATCCCATAGGGAACGGCCTCCATCCCATAGGGAATGGGCACCATCCCATAGGGAACACTGCAGGAAGCAGCTCCCACAGCCTGGACAGAGTGTGAGGAAAAGCACAGCAAACAGCTCTCAGTCTCTAGGGCAGCCCCGACCTTTGCAGTTCCCCTGTCCAAGCTCTGGTCTGCATGAGACAGTTTATGCTTTTCAAGAGAGAAATCTCAGTTTACAAACATTTCTGGAGTAAGCAGCCCTGGAGCCATGAGCTTTCAGAGAATGTCACTTGCCTGTGGGGCCTGTAGTTCACACCTCTGACAAGATCTCTGCTGTGCCAAATGGCCTGAGCCCAAATTGTCTGAGAAGAGCTGGATTTTGGTCCTTGGTATGTGCAAGCTGATGGCACTGCAGCATCGTTCACAGCCCCACAGACCATCTCTGGCATGTCAGAGAAAGCATTTTCCTACCACAGCAATCATCTTTTTGGAGCCCTGAGGAGACCTTTTGTGAAAACATTAGCTCTGTCAAGGGCCATTTCATAAATTGTAAAAATTGCAGTGTGGCTGAAGTGGCTACAAGGCACACAGAAATCCAAATTTCCTGGCTGTAAAAAGGCAGAATGGTCCTTTAGCTTCACTTTCCCACCCAGAATCTGCAGCTGTGTAAAATCCATTTCTGAGTGTCTGGCACAGAGCCCCGTGCACTGCCAGGGTCACTGCCCAGCATGCCCACCCCAGACAGCTGCTGAGGGAACCCTGCCAGGGCTGCAGGGGAAGGGAAGAGCTGGCACCAGACCCCAGCTGGGAGGGAAATGTGAAATAACATCCGTCCTCTATGGTACCCGAGTGAAACTCCATCAAACATCAGTCGTGACAGCAATAAATGACTGCAAAATTTTGAGAGTGAGACCTTGCAACTGCCAGGGAACAGCACCCTGCTTTTACAACCCCACCCTTCTCATGAGCTCATTTTCTCCTTTCGGGCTGGTGCTACATCTACCAAAACAAGAGGGCTTTTATCCCATTTTTAGCATGATGTGGCTTAAACAAAGCAAGGAGGCTCCCATTAACTGAATCTGTGCTCTGAGCAAAGCCCCAGCTGACCTGTGAGGTGCCCTTGGACAGAGATACCAAACTGCGAGTGACCAGCTCGAGGCAGAGAAGAGAACAATCAGAAAGTCAGTCTGAGAGCCTTTGGGTGGACAAAGCTCTTATTTGCTGTGGTGTTCAAACAGGCACTGCAAGATCTGCCCCTCTGTTTTAATGTTGTCCTGGAAAGACTGGTCTTAAGGCCACAAGCTATGACTGAGCTCTATTTTCACCAAGGAACAGAAACATCTAATCTATAGTGAAATTCATCAAGAAATTTATATCCTTCTATGGGAAGGATATGGAAAAAATATCCCCATGAATCCCCCTTGTACTTGCCAGTTCCCAAGCTACCGGTGGGTGCTCGATGGAGCTGCAGCCATTTCTGCCTGCATCCTCAACCATGCTCCCATCCCCATCAGCTTCCCTGCCAGCATTCCATTTGGTCCCTCTCCTGTCACCCTGTTCTTCTAGTTCTTCTAAGCCTTCAGATGTTTATATTCTTGTAATGGAGTTTCTCATGCACTTTTATGTAAATAATTATTGTTTTTACATTCCTCTCTGGAGGAAGACAAATTTGATAGACTGTTGGTTTGTCCAGTGTCATTGGAGAAGTGGCACTTTCATCCTCCAATCCACTGTCACTTTTGAAAGTCTACAAATGTTAGAGTCAAGAAATAAACCACCCTTCTTCTTCTTCTTACCTTGCAGTTCCAGTGTCCGCGTGGTTTTATTTCGTGTCCTATTGCAACACTCTCCTACTGCATGAGCTGTATCACGAGCATAGCTATGGATAAATATGCATTTCCCCCTTTCCCAAAGGAGGACTTTTCCCCCCCTTTAAAGCGATTATGCTGATGTGCTCCCTGTGCTGCCGGGAGGCGACAGCTCCGTCTGGCTGTGCGGAGCTCAGAGCTCGCCCAGGTCCTCGCTGCACAGCACCGTGACGCTGATGTGACCCGGCACCTCGGCCGCTTCCCCGCCGCCTCTGCCCCGCAGCTGCAGCCGCTGCTGCTTGAGGGGCTCACCCGGGGAGGCTGCCAGCACCGCCTGCCCCAGGAACTGGTCACTCAGGAGGTTGCTGTTCCACACCTGGAGAGAGGACACAGAGAATCCGGCTGAGGCAGCGCTGCTCTCACGCTCTGCCGGGAAGGGTCACCCCCGATAACCCCTAGGAACAGCGTGTCTAAATTTAGTTAATTGTCTAGAGAGCGTGAGGGAGAGTCTGGATTTGCATGCTCATTTACATAGACTATGCAAATAAGGAGAAAAATGCAGCTTTTTGCTTTCTAGGTCAGAGCCTGCCTAAGAGAGGAATAAAAATGACCTTTTTTTAGCACATCAGCAGTAAAAATCTATCTACAATAGCCTGTCTGTGCTGCTCTGACTGCCTGTGCCCACCTCTGCACCTCCTCAGTGCTAGAGTTTTAGAGCCTGGCCCACAGACTAGGCTGAAGACTAAGATTTCGTGGACTGCATCATCTCAATCCCAAGCTCTATTTCTCCAGCTAGTGCTGAGGTAAACAGTGAGGTCTAGTTCTCACAGGACTAGAATTCAGGGTAGAAAACTTCTTAATAACAGCCTTAGCTTTGGGGTTGTTTCAAACACTGACTCTGGACAGCACTTGGCTTCTCCTTGTCTCTGTTTCATCAGATACCACATGAGGCAAAAGGAATTCTGTAAATTCCTTCAAAGCCTTGGAATGAAATATTCCTTGGAATGAAATATGCCTTGTGATCCCCAAGTGCCATCCTCTGGTGTTTGTGGAGCAGAAGCAGCAGCAGCCCTGAGTGGCCGGCTGCCTGCTGGGGTTCTGCATGGCACAGGATTCCTCCCAGACCCAAGCTGCCACCACTGGAAACTCAGGCTGCTTTGACAGTGCCAAGTGCCTCCTGCAAACTGACATCAGGAACCTGGGCTGGTGAGTTCTGTTTCCCAGGGAAAAGGCCAGTGTTGGTGTTCAGGGGCAGAGCCCAGCAAGGGGGGCAGAGGTTCTCTCTCTCCTGGGTCACACAAAGGAACAGCTGGCCCAGTGAAGCCCAGGGCTGCTGCTGCTGTGCTGCCCTCCCTGCCCTGAGCAGCTGCTGTGTGGCTGTCTCACCTGGATGGTGACAGGACTGTCGATGTCCTTCCTGTAGAAGATCACCTGGGTGTTGAAGACGGGGCTGGTGGTGTCGTGCTGCACCGGGGAGCGCCGGCTTTGCTTCTCACACTTGATGAGCACGTAGGGATCTGCTCCTGGAACACAATCAGCAGCACAGCTCTGGGCACACAGAATGGCAGCTGAGAGCTGCCCACAAACCCAGCAGAGACAATCCCCTCCTGTGCCTGGCAGCACCACAGGACACCAGAGCACGTCACAGCCACTGCTCCCTGTCCAGGTGAAAACACAGAACCATGGAATGGTGTAGGTTGGGAGGGACCTTAAAGCCCATCCAGTTCCACCCCCTGCCATGGGCAGGGACACCTTCCACTGTCCCAGGCTGCTCCAAGCCCTGTCCAACCTGACCTTGGACACTTACAGGGATCCAGAGGCAGCTTCCCTGGGCACCCTGTGCCAGGGCCTGCCCACCCTCACAGAGAACAATTTCTCCAATATCCAATCTAACCCTCATACATGACCCCCTGCAATTGTTCAGCCTTCTAGAAATGCCTTGAGCATTTTTATTTCTTATTAAAGTTGATATTATCTTTCCTTTACAATAAGGAGTAAGATCCATTTTGGAAACACCAAACACATTCAGATAGAATGGGCCGTTCCATCCTCTAATTAACTTTTAATTAAACAAAGGCAATACCATGTTTTTATTTCAACACAATTCTATCTATTTCTATTGTTAATGACAGAATACCTTTTTTTTTCCCACACCTTGCAACTTCTTAGATAAAGATGTTAAATAAACCCAGGGTATCTGCAAGGCTCATGAGAGTTTCTAACACGCTTTTTTTCACCATCTACTTGAAAATACCACCACAGCCAGAAGGCAGCACAATTTTAGGCAACTTTAGCTTTTTAACAAACCATACCCAGATGATTTCCCTCAAACTCATCACTCATTTACCAGACCAGGTACCAACACCCCACATGAACAAAGCACATAACAGCTGCATCCAAGGCAGGCACAGCCACTTCCATGTACAAGGCAGACACAGATTTGTCCATATGTTGCTCTGTGGTTACACCTGGCCAGAGCTGTTTCCCTGACAACCCCTCCCAGTTCCATGGCAGGTAGCAGGATATCGGCTTTTCTGATGGGTAATTGCCTTCCGTGTCACTGAACTGTGAATTCAGCTCTGGGGCATGGGGTGGCACCAGGCTCTGTCACCAGGGGTGGAGAAGCTGCCCCCTTTGCAAAGCAATGTGGAAAATGGATCTGGATAAAACGGGGTCTTGCCTGTCACCCCAGTGGTGTTAACAGCTTTGTCCGAGAGCAAAGAGCACAGCAACACCGGATCATTAACAGTAATTAAGAGATAAAGAGCATAAGGAGGGGTGGGGAAAGGCCACAGAGCTAAAGAGGTGACAGGCACATCTGCTGGATGGATGAGGGAGCAGTTAATGAGGGGACTGGCTAAGTGAAGGGAAAAGGAAAGAAAATATTTGAAGGAAACATTCAAATTCTCAGCAAGACCTCTCAGAGGGAGGTAGAAGGGGGACATGTCACCATGATATTTTCTGAAAAATCCCTTTGCCAGGATTTCTTCTCCTGGGAAGTTGAGAAGCCTCAGAGAAAAATGTAAATAATAATCTGATTCTCTTCTCAGCAGTGTTTGCTGCTTTGGAATGTGGCAGGTGTATCTTTGATTGGTTCCATGTGAATTGTTTTTACTTAATGACCAAAGCCAGCTGTGTCAGACTCTCTGGTCAGTCACAAGTTTTTATTATTCATTCTTTTCTAGCCTTCTGATGTATCCTTTTCTCTACACTTTAGTATAGTTTTAGTATATAATTTTTTAAATATAATATAATACCATAAAATAATAAATCAGCCTTCTGAAACATGGAGTCAGATTCATCTCTTCCCTCGTGCTGGGACCCTCACAACCATAACAGGGACACAAAATATTCTGACCCCATGATAGCAGTGCTGGATGGGTCAGTTGTTTTAGGAAAACTGGCTCCAATTCCCAACAAAAGCAAGCAGTGGGAGAGCACACGAGGGATCAGATGTTCTCAGCTATGGATGGCCCAGTTCTGTGCCTGGTTTATTTACAGGACAAAGAAAAAACACCAAGGTCTGCTAGAGTGGAAAAGCAGTGTCCTGGAATTGGCCATCAGCAGGGAACGAAACTGGAGCTGCTGCTCAGGAAACAGCTCTGGCAGTGGAAGGAGGGCTGGGTTCAGCTCTGGGGCACTCCAATGGCTCCAGCTCTGCCCTGAGCCCCATAACAGCTCTCTCACCTCAGTCCTGGCCATGCTGCTGCCTTGGGAAGCTGTACAAAAGAACAGTGCAAAGGAAAAAGTTGGAATCTGTAAAAGCCAGAAACGCCTGAAGAGTATTGGCATTTCTAAGGCTTAAAGAAATCTGTGCTCAGTAGTCTAAAGGTGAATTTTTGGGTTTTTGAGAACTGCACCCAGGATCTAACACCCACACCCTGCAGCACTGCACCAAAGCAAACAGCTTTCTGGAAAACATTCCTAAGGGAATGCCAGCTGCATTCCCACTCCTTTACTGCTCTTCCCAGCACCTGGAGAGCTCTGACAGCTTTAGCCACTGGAAAAGGGCATGGCTCAAACACCAGGTACAGTGCTGAGACAAGCACTGCCTCTTGCAGGTGAATCTCTGCTACTCAGGCTGCTCCCAAGGCAGCTTCCACTAAGGATTCTCTGCTTCCAGGGCCGTCACACACCATGGATCTCAACACTCAGTTTATATTCTAAGTGGTGAAAAACAATTCAATGTACAAATCCAACATGGAATGTCATCAGGAACACTTAAAGGTGCAAAAGGTGATTTTTTTTTTCTCAAAGAGAAACTCAGGGAAAAGGCCTGACAGACAGTAGTGAGAGGCATCTTTAAAACAGGCTTGGGAATGAGTGACAGAAAATCCTCTAGCACAGAGTTTCCTCATCATCCTGCAGACCTGCCACTGTGCTTGGCTCACAGACAGCTGGATCCACTTCAGAACACACTGACTTGGAGAGAGGTGCTTCCACAAGGAGCATCCAGGACTGACTCTGGATTCATCCACTATTCCTGACAACAGCAAACCATCCATTATTTTGTCCAGACAGAGCAATGGATCAAAGACAGCACCAAGGAGGAGCTTTCCAATAAACATTTAAAATAAAAATTAAATAAATTTCCTCTGGCCAGGAACAAAGCTCTGATAACAACCAGCATTGAGCTGTGAAAAATGAAGACTATCAGAGAGCAGGAGTAGAAAATGAAAAAGCAAATGACAACTGGGCAAGTTTCCTAATTAACTCAACATCAGGTGCTATAAAGCCGTTTTGGTGTCCTTCAGGACACTTCCTCTGACAGACATACACCCATGTATAAAGCATTTAACCCCTGTTCTACTTTACCCAGCTGAAAATGATTGATTGAAAACCATGAAGTCCTTCCTGAAGTGCTCTAATGAGGTAAATGTAACACACTACACGAGTCTGTGCCATTCAGCTGCCCCCTGGATATTTTCCATTTAGAAAATACACAGCCCTGACAGAAGAACCTTACTAATCCCCACAATTAGCTCCTCAGGAGGGTCTGACTACTCCTGCCCAGTTGTGGACCTGCCCATAACTTGCTGTTGCGCATCCCCATATTCATCTGATCTCTCCACTGGAGCAGGTTTTACAGCAAGATGGAAAAGCAAATCCCATAAATGCTCTGTTTGGATGATTTGTGATTGCTTACATATCAACCCAAATCATCTTCAGAGGACTGAAAAGCCAATTCCACTCCTCCAGACTCCCTTTCCACTTACCTCCTGATCTGTCTTGTTTCTGCAAACCCTCTGCAGAGTGGACTTTGATTTGGGTGACTCTGCGTGGGTAGCCACAAAGGAGACTCCAACACGTCATTTTAGGCCTATCTGCCTTCAGCTCCCTGAAAAATCATGGAAAAAGCAACCTAAGCAAAGAATGCCAAGCAAACAATCAATGGTTGTGGAAATCTGGCATTTTTAGAACATGAGAATCATAGTTTTTCCTTATCTGCTGTTTTTGAATTCTGTGGTGCAGAAATGACAGATGTAAGAGATAAAAATAAAGCAAAGCAAAATAAAACAAATTTGTGTTATCTTTTGTGTGGAAGCAAAAGTGGTGAAAAAACCCCCAATTTTAAATAGTGGAAAATACTGTCAAATCAAGAAATAAATGCAGTGGGCCTGATTCATGAAGCACTGGTTCTACTCTTGCAGCAGCCACTGCTTTCAGAGGAATGGCCACAGAAACAACAAATATCAGCTGTGGCCACAAGCACCAGTGCTCCGTGTCTTGACCTAGAACTGGGAGCCACTACAAGAACTGCACTAAAAAAACCAAAATACTCAAAATGAATCACCCAAGATATCCCTAACTAAACATTTCCTGACCATGCACAGACCTGGATATTCTCAGAGGTGTTCCTGATGTTTCCAGGGCCCAGTTCTGGAGCCACATGAGCCAGGGAGTTGGAGGACAACCTGGCAAGCCCTTCCATGGAGCTGCAGCCTGTGGGCTCAGGAGGATCTATCTCCTGCAGCTGTGAGTGGCACCCACCTGAGTTTTGAGGGCACATCTGTGTAGAGCCTGAGGATGAATTTTGTGGGGACCCCTGGGATGTAGGTGGTTGGGACCAGGACGTAGCGGCCCTGCTGGAGGGTCCTCCTCAGGAACACGCTGCGTGTGTTGAAGTAGGGAGACGTGGCCACTCTCTCCTGCACCGTGAGCTTGTGCAGCCTGTACCTCCTGTTGTCCTCCACCTGCAGCAGGAGAGGGGTTAGGGACAGCAGGGCTGAGGGCAGGGCTCTCCCTGAGCACCACACAGCTTCTCACCCAACAAGGCAAATCGTCTGGCAAGTGTTTTCTCATCCAGTTAAGCTGTGGCAGGTGAAAGTTTGGGGCTGGCAAAGACAGGAGCCCACTGACAGAGATGATGTGATGCTACTGCAGAGCTTGGAACACTTCCAGAGATGGACACACAGCCCAAGGACTGCACCTGCTCAGACAAGGCTGAGATCCCGTGGAAGAGGTTTTACAGCAACTTCTGTGAGCCAGAGAGAAGTTTGAGAAGAGGATCCATGTTCGCCCCTGAAAGAATTTTCTACCAAGGTAGTTGACATAGAAACCAAGAAAGAAAGAAGGATAAATAAGAGAAACCTGCAACTGCCTGTTCCAGTGAGCACTTTGTTTGTCTTTCCTGACCAATGAGTAAACTGATGAGTTTTGTAAGAATGTATGAAAAGCATGCATGCTATAAAAAAAACAGTTTGAAGCCTTCTGAAAATGGAGTGTGTTGCTTTGTATTGTGACCATCTCAACTAGAACAAGATCCCTCTGCCTCCCTTCTCTAGCCTTTCACAGCAGGCTCCCAATCCAGATGCACACAGCTGGATTTTCTTTGCCCTTTCCTGAATACAAAAGCCACAGAATAACCATTCATGTTTTGTTCTAAGCCTTGAAGTCGTGCTTAACTCTTAACATCCCCTCCAGGGGACTGGTATTGCCAGAGCACAGCTTAAATCTAAACCTCTCTCTCCAGCAGTTCTTGAGGCAAAGGCAGCCCTTCATTCTTTTCTGGCAGCTCTCTTCCCAAGGCCTTTAGTCATGCTAACAAGCCTGGTGTGTTAGAATAGATCTAAAATAGAAAAATTATTGAACAGAAATAAAAATAGAGCACTGAAGCTTTTAGGAAGGTGTGGTTTTCTTTTTCAAGCCTTTCCAAATTACACTTTTCAATATATGTGGTTAACAGGTGATTGGCAAATGAGTAGGTTTGATGCAGATGTCAGCAAATCTAACCAACTGTTAAAAATTGACTTTTTTTTTTTTTAGGGTAGGGCCATAGATTTAATGTAGTCCCAGGAGCTGTAGCAACAGATAACAGGATTACCCCGTTCGTCAGTGAAAGAGCTCTCCTCCTCTGAGTTTGAGTGTTTTCATTTTACTCAATTTGCCTTGAGAGTGCAATTAAATTACCTTTTGGGATCCCTGTGGTTCCTTTTCCCATACATTCATTTCCTGCTCACCACTCCAGCTTTTAAAAATACTTTTTTTCCAAGTGGCAACAGAAAAACTGCAGACTTTTCAACCTCATTCTTCTAGCTGTATTTTCTGGTGAAATGGAGGCAGAAGAAGGAGAAAAACCCTCCATGTTTTAAGTATTAATATCATTTTGCCTTTCTCTAGAAAGTTTTGGGGTAGGAAAAACACTTAAAATTCTTTTGCAAGGAGTGAAAATTATTTATTTCAAATAAATGAAACTTATTCAAATAGAGTTTGAGCTGAACTAAAATCAGTTGAGTTCCCATGGCCTGAGTTAAGTGCACACACAAAATCTGAGCACAGAGCCAGACCCCAGGACAATCCTGGTATATTATCTGAAAGATCCATTTTCAAAGCAGTACCTAAAAGAGTAAGTCCCCAGACTCCACAGACCATAAGAGAAGTCTATGCCTGAATTTGCACATGCTGGGAGAGAAAAGGGCAGGAAGGTGGGAAAGGGAGTAGGAATGGATGAACAGATCAAATTATTATCTAGATTTATCTATCTAGAGGTAGATCTCTAGCTGCCAAAGATCTCACTGTCAGGGAGAAGCAGGACTGAGCAAACTGAACAAGCTCTGCACCAGGAGCACAGCTGGCTGCCTACCTTGAGGATTTCAAAGCCAATTGTGATGTTGTCTCCTTTCCCTTCTTTCTTGTACTTGCGGCGATCCTCCTGCTGTAAGGACACCAGCACTTTGTCCTGGGCCTTCTTAACATCAAAGAGGTACTGGGAGGAGAGAGGAGAGGGAAGAGCTGTTGGAATTTTACCCTCAGGAGGCTGAGGGTAAAGCCATCACCAAGGAAACACTGCAGGAGGGCTGAGCCACCATGGGATGGGACTGTGCCACCGCCCTGACACACAGGGGGCCAGGGCATGCTCTGACTCTGGCAGTGGTTTGTTTTGTGTTATTGCATTGTTTATTTTTATTTTCTTCCCTTAATAAAAACTGTTATTCCTATCCCTGTATATTTCCCTGAAAGCCCCTTAATTTCCAAATCAGAATAATTCAGAGGGAGGGGGTTTACATTTTCCATTTCAGGGGAGGCTCCTGCCTTCCTTACCAGACACCTGGCTTTTCAAACCAAGACATGTGCATACAAAGGAGACAAATGGAAATACATTTGAGGGAGGAAGGAGAGTTCTCCATGGAACAGACGTTCCCAGCAATTCACAGCTGGAAAATGAATGCTAATAGTAATGATCTTAAAATCAAAAGTATCAGGTAAATAAAAAGTATTGATGAAAATGGTAATCCTAGTGATAGGACATGGGGAATGACCTTAAAGTGAAGCAAGATAGGTTTAGACTGGATGTTAGGAAAAATTTTTTCCCTGTGAGGGTGGGCAGGCCCTGGCACAGGGTGCCCAGGAAGCTGTGGCTGTCCCTGGATCCCGGCAGTGCCCAAGGCCAGGCTGGACATTGGGGCTTGGAGCAGCCTGGGACAGGGGAAGGTGTCCCTGCCATGGCAGGGGGTGGATTGAGGATTGAGATGAGCTTTAAGGCCCCTGCCAACCCAAACCATTCCATGACTCTCTGATTCTGTGAAATCACATAAAAGACAGCCTGGGACAAAGCTACAAAATAACTGGAGTCAGCAGGAGGATGCCTCATTTGAAAGAAAAAGACAAAAGATAAAGTTTTATTTAGCTATAAATCAGGAATCAAATTAAAAAAAAAATAAACCAGACTCCACATGGGGTCTTAGATAATTTTTGATTCTCCTTTAAACTAAACAGTGCCTAGAAATTTCAGACATAGTTATGTAGGGCCTGCAAATGAAGGAATCTTTCAAATCTTATTTAAAAGGCACTTTGTTCTGCATCTACAGTTCCTATTTAATGTGACAATGACAGGAATGCTAGTTTTGGACTTCTCAGTTTTCCTGAATACCCAGTTAAAAACAGCTAAGAAAGACTCCTGCATCTCTACCATACAAATATTTTATCCAAACTGTTTACAGTAAACTTGAGTCAACTTGGGTTTAAGATCAAAAGAATTTATCTCAAGTTTAAGCAGTAGTTCCCATCTTACTAAATCTGACTCGAACAGTTACAGTATTAAAAATCACTACCAGACCAGTTCATAAGTATGAACAAAAAAAAAGGTCAGACAGATGTTTCTTAATATGACAAGGAATTTAATTAATTTGTTCATTATTAGAGACTCCTTTAAATTTTGCTTTGTGCATGCAGAGGACAAACCTGAGTTGTCAGGACCAGAGGAAGGAAGAGGACATTATTTACCCCAAGTTTGGATAGATACTGTACTCTCCCATCCTCAAAGACACTTAAATGTGAAGAAAATAAATAGAAACATAAACCTGCAGCAGTGCACAGCTGGGTACCACATGTTCTGATTTAAGCAGAAATTCCCTGGCAGTGTGGAGAGGAATATCATCACTGGTTCAACTCCCCGCTCCCTTTTCCTTTGACTGCTGCTGAAAAACAAATTACTGAGCTTTGCTCTGAGGTAGATATAGAGATTGCCTTGGCTACAGAACCATCCACATCCCTCTGCCTTGGAGCTCTGCTGAACAAGGCCCCATCCCAAGCTCTGATTTGTGTTTTTATCTCTTACTGCAGCAGAGAAAGCACAGGGCCCTGGGAGAGTCCCAGGGGCTGTAAGAGAACCTAAAAAGCGAGATATAAAGATGCAGCATCACCCAGTGAGGCACATTTTAATTCTTGTCTGTTGAGCCGTACACCCCCCAGGCAGCCCAGGGTGCTCCAAGGCCATGGAGGGGTGGAAGGACAAGGAGTGGAACCAGCAGAGTTCTCCTGGTCTGGTGACAGCTCTGCAACTGTGACCTTCTCCTGATGGCACCTCAGCTGTCCCAATGGGTAATGATCTAGAAGTCAGCAGGTGACTGTAGAATGCACAAATACTTGGCTGAAATTGCCTTATCAAAGGGACTGGAAGTGTGACAATCCCTCCCTGCACAGATAAACCTCACAGGAGGCCTCAGTGCCAGGAGAACAGAGAGATTATCTCTAGATTATGGTGGGGTGTGCCACAGTAACCTGTAATGGCCCTAAGATAACAGAAATGTGTTCCAGCACTGCTGCTAAGAGCCTTTTAATCCACTGGCCCAGAGATAACACTGCAATACAGAGGCCTTCCACTGCATCAGCATTGCACTCAGCTGGAAGTGTGCATTTGTTCTCTGTGACAGCTAAACACTTACAAATGAGACCAGACAAGGCTTGGAACACATCCAGCATCTCACAGGGCAACACCTGAATTACATCACCCCCTGGAAATGAGGCACTGACAGAAGGCAGAGCAGTGAAGAGCTGCAGGATGAGCTGGGAACCTGAGTTCTGATGTGAGCAGCTGGGCTGCACTGCTGCAGCCTCCCCCTCTGAAAACACAGGCTGCAGGTAGAAACCTCCCTTGCAAGTGCAGAGAAGCAGATGCAAAAATATCTTTAATTAATCTGGACAGAAAGATCCATTTTCAAAGTAGTAACTACCAGAGTAAGTGCCCAGGCCCCACAGACAGTAACAGAAGTTGTATGTCTGAATTTGCACGTGCTGGGAGAGAGAAGGGCAGGAAGGTGGGAAAGGGAGTAGGAATGGATGAACAGATCAACTGAATAGCTTGAAATGACCAGGTAGAATGAGACAAGGAAAATTCTGTAATGCTGACAAGGAGGTGAGCTTGGGGAAGAGATCAGGTACTTCCAGAATGTCACAGTAATGCCAAGGGACACTAACTAAATACAGTGGATCAAATCCCCGAGCTGTTTAAGGGGGTTAAGTGAGTTCTGTCATTAGAATATCAGGCTTGCTGCCTTTCTATGACTGGGAAAATGAAAGAAGTCCACCAGGACACACACCTGTTGTGTGTGTGACTCACCAGCTCCAAGCATGATCAGTCCTAAATAAATATATAAACCATTCTGAGAAACTGCACCAAAATCATGAAATACGCAGTAAACAGCACACTCCCAGGGCAATGAGATTTCTGTCTGGTAGTCACTGCCAACTCCTAAACAGGGTGGTTACTTCAGGAGCCCCAGCTAAAGTGGGTACACTTCAATACCTCACAAAACTTCCCACCTGGGGGTTCTGCAGGAAGGTCTCTCTGTTATCAAAGCAGCCCCCAGCTCGGTTCAGCAGGGGCTCTGGGTGCTTTGCCCAAGCCCCATAGATCATTTCCTTCTCCCAGGTCTTGTGGAGGCTGAAGCAGGAGGTGTTCACAGTCCTGCAGATGTCCACATCTGTGAAATTCTTACACCAGTCCTCAAACGTCATCCTGCTCCAGGGAACACCAGGGGAGTAATGGTTTGTTTAAAAATAAACAGTGATATTCACACAAAGAGCCAAAATAAAACACAAAATCTTCCAGTAACTTGAAGAGGAGGCATTGCTCAGCTGTGCAGGGGACAAACTGCTTCACTGGAAAGCTTTCCATGTGGAAACACTCATGAATCCACAATCACAGGGTTTTAATTCAGAGCAGCATCACTCAGTGTGTTTGGTCAGACCAGGATCTGTCCTGTTGCATCTCCTAAGCCTACAGGACTGCTTGAACCTCCCAGGCTGGATTTGATGACACATTTTACAAAGGCCAAAGAGATCACCTGCAATTAAAGCAGGATCCACTCATTATTACAGTCCTTATTGTCACATCTGTCCTTGAGCACAACTCCAATCTCTGCACTCTGGACAGAGTTTTTCTTTAACCCCATCTCACCTGTGCCTGCTAAAAGAAGGGGCTGGACTGCAGAGCAACTGAAAACCAGCTTGGCTCTTTGAATTACCATCATGGCCTGGCTTATTCATGGCCCAGAGCCAAACCCTGCAGCTGCCAGTCCAGACAAAGCCAACAGAATTATTTTCACTGTGAGCCCTGCCAGCTCACTTGATGCAATATTGATCATTTCCTGAAGGACCTGCTGGGCTAAGGATCTAAGCTTTAAGCAAGGTCAAAATTAATAGATCTCTAGATATTGTATAGAGAATGAACATTTGGAAAGCACCAACAAATATCACAATTCACTGGATGCAACTCTATTTTTAGATGCCTCAGCCATGGCTGACCTACAGACAGGCACAGTACTCAGTAAACAGGGTGTGAAATGCACATGGTACTTCCTCAGATATTTTTGCCCATTTCAAAATTTAACTGGTCTAAACAGTGTTCAATACTGGGCATCGTGTCATGTAAACCAGCACATTTTCTCCTGTTTTCTGAGAGAATATCCTAAATACAGACAGTAGATTCTGAGAGCTACTGATTTTGTTCTACTAGCTTGAAATCCATTTTTATTATTCTTCCCTGTCATCCCTTGGGAGCTTGAAAGAAACAGACCTTGGGATAACTTTAACCATCTGTTTTTGAAGCTGTTAATTGGCAGATTAATGACAGTTACTCAGTGTAGCCAGTGTCTCCAAACCCTTCTCATCACTCCCACTCACCAGAACTCTCCATCGTTCTCAACAGTGAGCCCCAAATTCTTGCGCTCAGAATCGCTGACTTTCTTCCACTCTTCAGAACTAAAAGGAAATAATTAAAAAAAAAAAGAGAAAAAAAAAAATCAAAACAATAAAGATGATTAATAACTTAAAATACAAACTCTTACCTGGAAAAAAAATGGAAGTAAAAATCTCTCCTGATCTGTGGTTTTAAAAAGAATATCAGAGTACTGAAAGGGCAAATGATATTGATGAAAGCGTGAGGCTTTCAGGAGGAGTTTTAAAACATTAATTGATTTGAAAGCTACTAAAAAAGAAAGAGATTAATAGGAAATAGGCTCAACTAGAGCAGAACTTTATTGATTTCCTTTGTCACACCCTCCATTAGGACTCTTAAACACTTAAACAGCTGGTTTCCAAGGTCACAGGAGATTGACTCCATTCCCTGAAGGCCCCTCACATGAAACCTGGTTTTCCTCCTCAGGAGATTATTGAATGCTTCACTTAGACCAGAGAATTCTCTTTGTCTTTTAATCATCTTAATAAAACAGGCCTGAGGTCTGAAATTTCCCCGGGGGCCTTTGAGAAGAAACTGCTGGAGCCTGAGCACAGTGTCCAGTTTGCAGAGGGATATTCCAGTGCACAGACCCTTCAGGCACAGAGCCCCTGTAGGGGAGCACAGACCCTAAATTCCAGCAGCCTCCTGCTGAAACCCAAACCAGACCCTGTTCCTGCTGGGTTGCACCAGACAAACAGAGCCACAACTCCCCCCTGCCCCTCCAAAAGCACTGGAGGCTAAAGCTGAAGGAGGCTGGAAGGAGGGAAGGGAGGCTGCTCACCCCAACAGGCATTTTCTTAACCTATTTGGAAATTGTCAATTTAATTCCGTTAGAACAAAAGCCATGGGCCACCATCAGAGTGCTCAGTGCTGGTATGAGTGGCAGTTGTGCCAGGCTGCTGGAGAACCCTAAGGGCTTCAGTTGAACAAGATACAGCAGCTCTTTTGTGCATTCTCTGCGTTTCACCCAGACCAATCTCTCTGAAAGTAGTAGATTTTTGCTAGCTAAAGCATGGATTATAAGCAATTAACATGCTGCTGTTAAGAACACTGCAATGTTAAATACTAAATGCTAGCTGGTGAGCCCAGTGCTGAACTGTCACATATTTTTCATGTATAAATCACCCCTGATGGGGGACATCCCCTCCAGCAATCATTTCTCTTGCTGTGCAGGTACTTGCTAAGTCTGTGGCCCATGAGACAATTAATTAAAAAGTTAATTAGAAAGAAATCACAAATATGGTACTTTTACAGCATTTTTCACCAATCACTTAAATTATCTACAAGACTTTTGCCATCCCCAGTAGCTGGAAATGACAGATGAGAAACTGAGTCACAGACATGCTCAGTGGTGAAGTTGGGAACGAGCCTTGTGGTCTTCACTCCTGAGCTATTTTTCGTCCCATGGTCCAGTGGGCTAGAAGAATGATGTAAAGAGTAAATAAGGTCCAGGGAGCCATAGGCTCCTCCAGGACATGCTCAGTTTCTCAGAGGAAAATGGGCAGAGATGCACAGAGGTCCAGCCATCTCTGAGCATGGGTGTGTCCCACCAGTGTTTACCCACAAACTGCAGTGCCCCAGCACAGCTTCACCCTTGGACACTGGGTTTGCAGCTCTTACCTGTCACTCCAAGCACCATGCCATTCTTTTTTGCCCCAGGGATTCCTCAGCCTGATCATGAACAGCTTTTCAGCCTTGAAGGAGAACACCAGGCTCTCCCCGAGGCGCAGCTTCCTGATGGCAGTCACGGAGTAGGCATGGCCCACGATCAGCCCCATCTCTGTCTCTGCTTCACTGGGCCGGCCAGGGGACTCCTTGGGCATGAAAAACAACCATTAAACAGAAAGAACTCACATCTCTGAGGAACCTGATGCGGCAGCAGCTCTCTGGCCACAGAGAGAAACAGACAACTTCCCAGGCATCATTCTGGGAAAGGCTGTGAGAAGATCAGAGAAAAGAATGAGAAACAATCCTTATCTTCATTTGCTGCACCTGGTGTTGTGAACATGTGGAATGTGTTATGGAGATTTGTTTACAGACCCTTCAGGCACACAGCCCCTGCAGGCTGTGGGTTCTTAATTAGCCAATGGTGATGGTGTTTTAACTAAAGGACCAACTAGGTCCACTTGTAGCAAACTAGGCTATAAAACTATGGGTTTCTTAATAAAGAAATTATCAGCCTTCTGAAATACATGGAGTCTCTATCAATTATTATCCAGCCAGGGACCTGCTGTGCTGACAACCTGACAGCTCCATGTTCAAGGGGAAGGACATGAAAAATTTGTTTTTCATTCTTTTCCTGAGTGATTTTACTGTGCATAATAATAACAACACTGAGAATCAGAACTAGGGGCTCACTAGTGTGGTGGTGTTAGTGCCAGATAATTCCAGTGCCAGACAATCCCAGGGCACAGGGGAATCCTGCCTGTTGCAGCCAGCCTCTCTTCCTGGCCTCAGAGTTAGAGACAGGGCTGATGGAAAATCAGCCCTCCCAAAATCTTGGCATTTCTACCAAGTGGCTCTTCTGGACACTGATGGCTGTGCCCAGACTGGTGTCCTCACCTGGGCACTCATGAATTTAGCTGGTGATCCAATGGTTGTTCTTGTGTTGGAATAAATTAATAGGAAGGACTACTGGTAGTGGGTAAAAATGAGAGAGCACAGGCACAAGTGAAAAAGCTTCCAAGCCATTTGTGTTCTGTACCTCACTCACTCCTGGCAGGGCTCTCTTATTTGGCAAAGAGAAGATCTATAGGGTGCTTTCGGAACTGGGTTTGCTCATCATAAACTCCACATAAGAATCCCAGTTTCCAGCAATGATCAGGCTGTCCCTAAACCATCCTAAACTGACCCTAAACTGTCCTGTTTGATGACCTGGGCCTGATCAGATGCTGATCTAAGAATACATAAAAGTAGTCAAGCTCTGAAAAAGAGTACAATTTCATTTAATGCATCTAAATCTCCTGATCTAAACCCAGAAAACAGGACCATACAAAGATGTTGGAGTTGTTTTGATGGTCTTGGATTCAGATTCTCCTCACCCTCACTGAATCCAGCCAAGCCATCCTTGAGTCTCTCTCATCTATCACACATATGGGCTATCACCCACAGGGCCTTGAAACACTCATTCCCTTGGACATCAAGGAAGGAAGATTGGACTCAGTGCAGATCCTTGTAATTACCTAATTAATGCTCAATCAAGCCTTGGCTGGGGTGGAGAGAGCAAGAGGTATGGCCTCTTGGTGTTACTAATGCAAATATTTAAATATAAATATATTTTTATCATTGCATGTTAACATATTAGTATAATTATATGAATATTTAAGTATAAATAAGGACTCACCACATGTATGAAATACACATAGTATTTCCTCAGATATTTTTACCCATTTCAAAATTTAATTGGTCTAAACAGACAAGGTCCTTGTCCTAAGGCAAATGTTGCACTGATACAACAGCGCTCAGTCGCCAAAGGTAAGAAATCACATTAAAAAAAAAAACAACAAAGAGGGGGGAAGGAGAAATTCCTATCAAATTGGAACTGACAGATGGGCTGGCAACTGTGAGAGTGTCACCAAGGCCTCTGTGCCTCTCGCTGACAGCAGCTCCCATGGAATCAGCTCAAGTGTTCCCCAGCCTGGCTGACATCCCCCTGGCTCTGGGCTCCCCCAGTGTAACACTTTCCCTGGCATTTTTCACAACTAACAGCAAACAAAGAGTCCTTGACAGCACAGGAGTCTGTAACTTCTCCTGCTGCCTTTATCACCCCCCAGGCTTTTCTCATTGCTGGCCTTTCCCACCTCATTCTCAAGATACTTATTTATTTCTTCATTCAAATGAGATATTGGAGCATCTCCTGTCTGTTCAGATTTCCAAATGGTGATGCTCAGGGCCATTCTGTAATCCAAGGCAAATGATAACATGTTTGTAAGGCAGCAATGAAGCCACTTGAGTATTAAATATTCTACACCTAGCAAGCTCCACTGGGTGTAAATTACATCAAAACGTGACAAATGCAGGCAAACTTAGGAATGGCCTCTCTGTTATCAATGTTTAGAAGCATTTGTGTTCAATTTGGAAGGCAGAAACATAATGCCAGGAATCAGTGAAAGCATTACAACTGCCTAATTAATTGCTTTTTAAAATACAGCTCCCTGTACTGAGTCAATCACCTCAGCAAATTCTTGTTAAGAAACAGAACTGCTCTAGCATTTGGGAGCAGTCCATCATTCTGGAAACAGTGTCTGCAGTAACAATTCACACCAGGCAGTCTGCTCTGTCAGCCTGAGCAAATCAGATGGGATTCTTGCAAATAAAAATTCAGGCCTTATGAAAAAAGGGTAAACCAAAACCTAAAGACCTTGAAGCTTTTGTTTCTGAGCTGTTTCCTGATGTTGCTGGAAGGGACAGTCCCTGTTCTATCCCAGGGTAAGTTCGTGTCCCCAAAGGTACCAGGTGTATCAAATTCAGGGTGCCCCCCACGTGAGGAATGATTGGCATCTGACTCCGTGATTCAGAAGGCTGAACAACTGCTTGATTAAAACTATACTGTATCACATTAATACTGTATTATAACTACACTAAAGAGATACTAAAGAAAAACCCATGACTGTCTGAGACAGCCAGGACACAGCTTTGAGCCAGTTGGCCAAGGAATGAAAACAGTCCTCAGCAGAATCCAATTAACAAATCACTTCAGGAAACAATCTTCCTAACACATTCCACATGAGCCAAACAACAGGAGCAGAGAATAGATATAAGAATTGTCTTCTCTCCTCTCTGTGCTTCTCACTGCCTTCCCAGGAAAAATCCTGTGTGGATTTGGGAAAGCTTGTGCCTACTGCTTTCTGTGAAGAGAGCTGAGGCTACACCAGGTGTTCCTCTTCGGTGCCTGATGCAGGACCATGCATGGCCAGGGCCAGATCAGCAGGTAACATTCTGAGGAACCCCAAAACCAGCTGATTTTCTGCTGTTCTTCACAATTCCACAGCTCCCTTCATACTCACAGGTATTTCTGAATGAATCATCCTCATTCACAGATAGGGAAATTAAAGCAAAATGTTTAGGTGATTTAACTAAGACCAGCCTTAGCTAAGGCCTTAAACTGAAGCAGGGGCCATGGGGGGAGGATGCTGAAGTGCACTTAGATGCCAACCCTGCAGCTCCTAGAAAATTATCCCTTTTCTGTGGGCTGCTGGATTAATGATTCACTATAAGTTATTTTAAAAAAAAACATTTAAAAGCAATTTTAAAGGAAACATTCAGGTGCCATTGCAGTTTGTTAGCCCTTCACATGATAACAAATGAATCATCCTCATTCACAGATAGGAAAATGTTTAGGTGATTTAACTAAGACCAGCCTTAGCTAAGGCCTTAAACTGAAGCAGTGGCCATGGGGGGGAAGATGCTGAAGTTCGCTTAGATGCCAACCCTGCAGCTCCTAGAAAATTATCCCTTTTCTGTGGGCTGCTGGATTAATGATTCACTATAAGTTATTAAAAAAAAAACATTTAAAAGCAATTTTAAAGGAAACATTCAGGTGCCATTGCAGTTTGTTAGCCCTTCACATGATAACAGCTGTGAACAAGGTGAGGATTTCAGCACTATTCAGCCAGGGCCTGACATTGCAGACTTAGAAGGAGAGTTCAGTCCAGCTGTCAATGGTTTGCCTCCTGTGGCCAGGGGCTGGGCCATAGGTCCTTTGTGAAGCACAAAACATCCTTTGGGAGCTGTTGTTCATCCATCTGGGTGGGCACTGGGTTACCTGAGCCACACATGAGCCAGCACAGGCAAGTTATGCAGGGTAATGCCAGTGGGGGGATTATTCACTATATTGACTGTATTGAATATATTCAGTGTCTAATAGCATTGCCTGAATAACCAGGTGAGCTCAGCCTTTCAGCTCAGCTCCACTGTTACCCTGGGCTGCACTGGCACAACCAAAGTCAAGAAGTCTCAGCAGCTCTGTGCCAGAACTGTTTTCTCTAAAGAGATTTCTCTAAGAAATAAAGCAGTTGAATGCTGCTATCTGCTGTGTAAATTAGGGTGGATTTACCTCAGGTCAATTCAGAAAAAAGAATTTCAGACACACAGTGAAGTGGCAGCATGAGCACTTGTGATTGTATTTAGTGGCTCCTGAAGCTGGAAGCACTTGTTAGATTTCTCCAAACAAAGCTTTTGCAAACATGCAATATCCTAATAAAGGTATTTCTTTCAGAATATCTTCATTGAAATAAACCCTTAAAATCCAGCTCTCTGTACTCACTGAAATGAAGCAGCTGATGAACCCTCCTCTTTTATGCACTTTCATCAAGTCTTCAAACAGCTTCATCTGTTCAGGAATAACCTCACCATATTTGCCCTCTTCCAAACTGATGGATTCTGCCACTGCTCCAGTGAAATCCACCAGGGCTTCTGTAGCACAGCCTCCATCCAGGGCTTGGTAGGATCCAGCCAGCCTGGGGGCAACACAGAATATTCTGTGTTTACAGGGGACTGGAATAAGTGCTCTAATTTGGCTTGAATGTAGGGAATATGTTTGTGTCTCACCAAGGAAAAAACAGAACAGAACATAAAAGCCTGAGCGAACTGCAGATAAATCTTCCCTGGTTTCTAGGATCCTTAAGGATTTGGGCTGCTGAAGTAGACTGTATTGCAGTAATTTAGGATTTTAACAGAGATTAAAGAAGGAGTTTGCAGTCTTTTTTAGGTTCTCTTCCAGCAGCAAAACTAAATCCTATGGAAAGTGTGACAGAACTGAAAGACAAAACAGACAAAGGGACAACACTGAGGAGTACAAGCACAACGAACCAGCTCATACTTAGCATAAGCTTTCTCCAGCAAAGCACTCCAGAATTCATTTCTCACGTTGGAACGGCAGTAGATGAGCTGCCCATTCTCAGTTGGCAGCAGATCATCCACCACCACCTCTGTCCACTCTCCAAAGCGCCAGAAGCGGAAACGGAAAATCCCAGCGTGTTTCCTTGGGTTTTTGGGGTCCCACTCCTGCTCGTTGTAGTCTGGAATCACCTGAGAAACCATGCAAGGGTGTGAAAAATGCCAAATCACTTGTTTTTAGAATTTTAAAAGTTTAATAGTAATAAAATGGTTATAAAAATAGTAATATAATTACAGTAATAAAAATTTGGACAATTAGGATTAGGACAATATGAGACAATAAAAACAAAGAGTTAAGGCAGTCCGGGTACCTTTTTCTGGGCATAATAAGCCCGAAAAAGGAAACCTGTTAACAGGGGATTAACCCTTAAAAGCAATAGCCTGTTGCATATTCATACACCTCATACATGATGCACAAATTCCATTCAAACAAAAGATTCTGTCTCTTCCTCTGAATCCTGACGGTGTCTTCAGGGCTGAGCAAGGCAGGAAGAATTTAGTTTCTTCTGATAATGGGGCAATAAATTCTTCTGCTCTGAAAGATTTAGGTGTCCTGTGGCTGCTTAGACCTCATCCCTTTCTTTAAAAAAATATCCTACATACCTAGTTTCTATTTTAACATTATGTTATAACCTAGGCAGTCCGGGTACCTTTTTCTGGGCAAAATAAGCCCGAAAAAGGAAACCTGTTAACAGGGGATTAACCCTTAAAAGCAATAGCCTGTTGCATATTCATACACCTCATACATGATGCACAAATTCCATTCAAACAAAAGATTCTGTCTCTTCCTCTGAATCCTGACGGTGTCTTCAGGGCTGAGCAAGGCAGGAAGAATTTAGTTTCTTCTGATAATGGGGCAATAAATTCTTCTGCTCTGAAAGATTTAGGTGTCCTGTGGCTGCTTAGACCTCATCCCTTTCTTTAAAAAAATATCCTACATACCTAGTTTCTATTTTAACATTATGTTATAACCTAAAACTATATTTAACACACTACTTAAGAAAATTAATACAGCATAACTTTCTAACATAACACATATAATATTCATTTTAATACTTGCAAAAAGCCGATCATAAAATATGCATTTTTCACAAAGGGGAAGTTCAGCAAGTGCACTGTGCTGAGGTTTATTCCCAGGGCAGACTGCCCTGGAGCACGTTAAAGAAAGGGAAGATTTGAATCCACCAAAATTAACCCCTTGTTAGTCCTATGGAGAAAAACAACCAAGGTTAGCTTGGTTTATCAGCTTTATTTCCTGCACCACACACAGCAATCACCCACCTGCTGCCAGAGGCTTTTCCTCAAAGCCAGGCAGGAGCATGCAGCCACAAACCAGCAGTTCCCCAGCTTGCCCTGGTGGAAGTCATGGGAGCTCATTCCATCCACAAGCAGGTGGGGGTCTTCACAGAGGTCCTGGCAAAGCAAACCAGAGATTGCTGGAGACTCCACTCCCAAAATTATCACAGCATCCTTCCAGTCAAGAAAAGCAGCAGGAATTGATGCTGCTGACACCTGAGCTCTGAGCTTCTCCTTGTCAAGCTTCTGAAGGGGGGGATGCTGCCTCAAGATTTTAGCCTTTATATTTTTCAAATCCTGTGCTGCAATAGTGCATAACTCTACACTTCATATAAAGTGTTAACTACTGTCTTCACACTTTGGTCAGACAGAACAATCCCTCCGGGCCTGGAACCCAGGGATAGCTTACAGCCTCAGGTCCTGAAAAGTATAAACAAAAGTGAATTGGGGGGAAGCAAACTGAGGCAATGTGAAGTTATTACTTGAAGCTATAATTGGGGAATGAACCTCTGATATGCAAACAGACCAAACTTATATCAGCCCAAAGAACTTGTGACCATCGTGCATCTTGGGTGTAGCCTCTGCCAGGCTCCTGCACTGCCCAAGGTGAACCTGCTAAAGGCCTTTAATAAATACTCACTTTATTCTCTTGACTTTGTCCAGCCTCTGTTCTAGGTAGCTACTCCAAGGCATTATCTTGGCTGCCATTCCTTTGGCTGACACACTGACCCTCCTTCACCAACAGCCTGGGTCACTGCAGTGCCCCCGAGCCCTCAGCACCACAGCAGGGAGAGAACGCTCTTTGTGAAGCACACCTTTTATTCTCTGGGTCTCGTAACTCTCATGGCTCTGGCTCCTGTTAGAACTATCTGTCCCTCCTTTCCTGGCTCCATCTCTATCCACGCACAGATTCCCACCAAAGCATGGCTGGATCTTCCTGGGATGTCTCCCTGCTCCTGCCTGGATTACCCCTTGCACTAAAGGGAGAACCTCTCAGTTTCATGGACCATGGCAAAGCCACAGGGGTGCATTTTGCAGCAGTGATGTGTTTGTCCCCACAAAATCCTTGGCAGAAGTGTCCTGCTGAATGGAGAGGGAACCTCTCACCAACACTTCAGCAGAAAGGAATGGGACCATCCCTAACTGGTGTGGAGTTGCAGGGTTCAACACAGTGACTGCTTCTGACACTCTCCTGTCAGTCACTGCTCTTCCTGCCTGGCTGAGAAGATGGCAGGGCAGGCAGTGGCAGGAAATTCTGCTCTTTCACAGTTTAATAACGCTAAATTTCAACACTGTGGAAATGATCCTATATCCAAGCATTAGAAATGCAGAATAAATAACTCCATCTCATCTCAAACTGGCAGGAGAGCCCAGATTTCCTGCAGTCTGTCCTGTCTGCCATCAGCAGCAGAGGAAGGAGCTGTGCTCCTTACCTATGGATTCTCTCTGCCCTTTGGTAATTAAAGATGATGATCCCAAAACGGCAGGACTGCCACCCAAGCATGGCTACAAACCACAGGCATCTGTCCCTCTGATGTGACTCTGACAAACCAGAGCTAGATGAACTCATTTCCAGAGAAAAGAGCCACCTCAGTGCTCAGCTGATGGAGAAACCTGGGCTGGTTTAGCCGATGGCACCTGAAATCAGCTCACAGCATGGAATTCATAGAGCTGCAGCCGTCCTCCTTAAGGAAATTATATTTTTGGCATGAAACTTTTATCATTAAATAACAGCTGACATTTTAAATGCCTTTTGGGAAACAAGCAACTGATCATTACATGACACTGCTCTCCTGTCAGGAATTCTCATGTGTCTGCACTTAGAGAAAATACAAAGCTTATTAAGAGACCTCAACAAAAATCTGAGTAACAAACTGGTGCCCAGGAGGAAAACTGAGCACGTACAAGATGCTCACCAGAATCATGGACAGATTCATTCGGCCTCCCTGGATGCTCTGACATGGAATGGCACTTCAGAGATGTAAATCCTCCTAGCTGCAGGGGTGGACAGCAGTTGGCCACTTGGCTTTCATGGTGGTAGCACACATCCCACATCCACGTGGGCCAGATTCCATTTTATATCCCATTTCCTGGCATCTCTGGCATTAATAATTTCTAGTTTGTTTTTCCTTTCAAAATGCTATTTTGTTTGAATAATAAATGAGGGATAAATGGAGCCATTGGGGTTAAAACTGTCCAAACTTTTCTGTCACTAGTGGAAGCCAAAACTTTAATTAGTTTTAGAAAGAAATTAAGCACTGCTGTGTATTATGAAGATCTTATTTGGTTTGTTTTGATAAAAATAACCACATTAAACTGCCATTTTTTAATTGAAGTGTGTCTTGCATCTCACAAAGTCCTCAGAGGGAAAACAGAGCAGCATGTGCCAACTGCCAAAATTTATGGATGAGATCAGCATTTGCTGAGTGCTGGGGTCCAAAGCAAACATGGAACAGCAGAGCTCAGAAACAGCATCTCCCTGCTTGTACCAGAGCCACCAAATTCTCCAGGATCCTGCCTGATAAGCCCTTTCTGGTTAAACCACCTAAAAACCCCGGAGTTCTGGGGCTAAAGAACAATGTAAGAAAATGCCACCAATTCTGTTTATATCATTAATCAATAAATTAATAAATGAGTGCCATTAATTCTCTTGTCATTATAACAGCTTCTGTGGTGGCTGTCACTGTGTGGCTCAGATGAGATACAACAGCACTGAAGCACAGCCTAGAGCTCATTTCAGCTCTTTGCTCTCTCCTGGGCTTTGTGATTTTCACCACTTATGCCATACAGTAAATTCTTAGGAATACTTTTATCTATCTAAGCCACAATTCCCCCAACACAAGTTAGAAATGTGCTATTTCAATATATTATTCTGCAGTCCTTGTGAGGGTCTTTAAGTGTTTTGGTTGCCCCAAGCATGTAAAAAATAGAAATTAAAAAGAAAATATATTAAAAATTTTTAAAATCTATTTTTCTACAATGCTCCCAGCAGTTAGGATATATAATGTTCCCAATTTAGGATAGTTGAGGATCAAGCCAGTTACTATCAGAGGAATTACAAGGAGGAGACACTGACAGGAGATGTGATCCAGGCACTTCAGGAGTCCCAGTCCCTTCTCCCTCTTGCTGCCTAAGCACCCAAGCACTGAGGCTGGGAGTTCCACCAGAATCTCCTCACACAATTCACAGAACCACCAGTTTGGAAGAGACTTTCAAGATCATCGAGTCCAACCCAGCCCCAACACTTCAACTAAACCCTGGCACCCAGTGCCACATCCAGGCTTTGTTAAACACACCCAGGGATGGGGACTCCACCACCTCCCCGGGCAGCCATGCCAGAACTTTATCACTCTTTCTATGAAAACATTTTTCCTAATATATTCCTCCTTTGCAAACACAATGGTTTAACCCCAATCCTTTTTCTCAGGATCATTTGCATCATCTGTGCTGTGAAGGAGAGAAATATCTTCCCATTTCCAAGCAACCATTTAAAGGCAGTTACAGGATCCTGCTACACACCATTAACATTGACAGCCACCCCATTTCTGACACAGCACCACAATAAAAGCAGTTGTTGCAGTATTTGTGCCTGCAGGGAGCATCCCAAATGCAGAACCCTCCCCACTTGTCCCCTCACACATGTACACAGTGAAATAAGCACCATCTGCAGAGCTGCAGTTGGGCTGGGCACAGTCTGGAAGTGAGGTTGGAGATTTCAGGGCCTCGTGGTTCTGCTGAAAGCCCTGGTGCTCTCCCTCATTGTCCCACCAGGCTTTCATTTGCATGACAGAAGTCTGGTTGTGTCACCTCCCATCCTTGCTGTGTAGTTGAAATATCTGACATTCAGACACTGATGCTCTGAGGAATAAAGTGGCTCACAGACCCCTTTTTCCTGTTTTTAAGTGGTCCCTTTATTTCTAACAGACCAACCTGGTCAACTGGCTTGCAATCCTATCCCAGTCTGGATCCTACAGAATTCCCATACCTGACTTCCTAGCCCCTCATCCAAGCAGTAATGAAAATTCTGATGGGGGAGATTCCTGTAGGACTCCAGCAACACAACTTGAGAGTACTCCAAGTAACTTATTTAACCAGCTATGCACCCCCATGAAAGAGTTTTGCAAGACAATGTGAACCATGGGAGACAACAGACACCCATTTCCCTGGAGCCATGACATGGTTTGTGTGTTGTTCTGCCACAATGTCCTAAAATTAAAAAAAAAAAAAAAAAAAAAAAAAAAAAAAAAAAAAAAAGAAAGATTTAATAAGAAAGGATGGGTTTTATTTGAGACCAGATGCACCACTAAAAGTACAGCAGGTAACTGACTGTGCACTGATATATGCATTGACTCAGAATAATTTAGCTAAAGGAGAAAATTCCCCTTAGCCCTGAACATGCATCTCCTGGTGTGAATATTACCAATATTCATGAAATAAAAGTTATGCAGTATTGGTTAAAGATAGGGAGAAAGATATTTTGAGGGTTTATTAATTAGCTGTGTGTCTTCACAGGCATTAGCTGAAGCTGCATTGTAAAAAACATTAACTGTAAAACATTAACTGTAAAACATTAAGAGAGATCTCAGATCTCCAAGAAAAGGGAAAGATGATGTTTTAACAGGTTAGGGTCTGTCAACTGTTTCAGAGAAAAACAGATTAAGTCAAGGGGAGAAGACAGAAGAGCAGTAATTTTTTGCAACTGAGATTTTCAAAGGTTTCTGTAGTATTTAGAGCTTTTCTCCAGCACCCTTTAGAGAACCCAGCCCTAGCATGACAAATAATCCACCTTTGCTTGCACACGAGGCCTACAGAGGCAGGCACTATCAGACTGATCTACTTAAGCCCAGTCACCATTCCCTTAAATTCTTTAAAGCAGGTTGATTTCTGTCAGAGCTGAGAATTGTTTCCATTTTCTTCCCTTCTCCCACCCTCACATCATCCTGAGGCAACTCCTGTAGAGGCAGAGTAGGGAGCAGGGGGAAAGGCAATTCTTTCTGAACATGGATGGAAAAATTCAGCTTGGCTGCAGCTGACACTGAACCACCCTCATCTAAAGGAGGGCAGCAAAGACAGCAGCCAGTGGCCGTGGAGCTGAACAGGTAAATGGGATTGTCCAG